AAGATATAGTGGTCTAAGACTGACTTGTAAGGTTTGTCCAAGATATAGTGGTCTAAGACTGACTTTGTAAGTTGCCTAAGATATAGTGGTCTAAGATTGACTTTGTAAAGTTTGCCAAGATATGTGGTCTAAGATTGACTTTGTAAAGTTTGCCAAGATATGTGGTCTAAGATTGACTTTGTAAAGTTTGCCAAGATATGTGGTCTAAGATTGACTTTGTAAAGTTTGCCAAGATATGTGGTCTAAGATTGACTTTGTAAAGTTTATCTTGAACGAGAAATAATTGGGCTGTCATGGTACATTCCGAATAATAGTTTTCTATATTTAATTTTGGAAAATATTTTCATTTGTCAGCTTCAATAACGAATAGTTTAATTATAAAATTAACAGAGTAGTATTGTATTATGTGTGTGTGTGCAGAGTGTGGGAACTAAATCATGTAGCCAATGAGCAAGAAATTGGTTCTAAAATCGTAAAGAGGAAAATTAATTAGCAAGAATAACGCGCATATTATAATATTTATAATAAAAACACGACAGAAGCAATAGCTCTCGTGTGATTAAAATAAAATACTTGTTATTAAGTATTTAGTTACTAATAAAACTCAATTGAAATATATAAGTAGATTTTTTTTTCGAAGTCAAACGTCACGTTTCGCTAACACGATATGTCAGACTTATTGAAATGTGGAATTTATTGAGAAAGAGACTAGACAACAAAACGCTCGAAATAAATTAATAATAAAATCTGTTCTTCGTAAAATAAGTAACCATACCCTCGTGAGTTATGCCCTGCGATTCACTGGTAATAACTATGTCTGATTTTCGCATGCGTTCGCGTATTAAATTAACTCCTTAACTAGTTGCTACGTCACTACGTACGGAAACTATCGAACAAAATCGAAACTATTCGGGGCTAAGCTCTATACCTTCAGCAGTCAGCACAGCAAAGATACGTTTTGTATCTATGAAGGCGTGGCTTGCCTGCGCTCGCGATCGACGTTTCTCGTGCAGTTTAACTACAGTGGTAGTTGTAGTGGTTGTCGCATTCAAGCTGAAGCCCATAAACCGTTGTTACAGTAGGAAAAGCCAGCTACCAATGAATAGTAATCCTTCTTAAACCAGGCTGAGCAGTTATCTTTCACAATGGCACACAGAAACGCAAGTATCCCGCACAAGAATGGAGGACCTTTTTCGAAATTCCCTTACGCTCGAATCATTCAGAAAGTAGTGTTCCTTTTAATAGCAGTTGGAGTCTCCTGTTTTGTACTTCGTCGGCAACCAGGTAATTCATTCAGCTATTGTTATGTTTTTTTTTTACAAATAATTAAGATCTGTTTATGTGTGTAAAACACCTTCACCTCCTTGATGCTTCCAAAATATATTGAACTATAAAGTAGGGCCACCAGTAGCACAGCAGTATGACTTACAACGCTAGAAACCGGATTTCGATACCCGTGGTGGGCAGAGCACAGATAGCCCATTGTGAAGCTTTGTGCTTAACTTCAAACAAACAAACTATAAAGTAGGAGTTACAGAAAATAAAACTCTTTGTAAATTATGGAGATCTTTTTCCTTGCGGGTTTTAGAGCTTCTGGTCTGTTCATCAGAGGGCACTTTATATTATGCTTTTATTTTATGTTGCCTGTTTTGTGTCAGATGAATACATCCTGGGTCTATAGATGGAACCGATGTTTTCAATACGACTAAACTATTTTAGCGACATACATAAAACCAAACAAAGCGATACTGGTTCAGGCCATTTAGCCAATGGTTTTCCCCAATCATGACACCTATGGACACCATCAGTTAAATTTCATGAATGTACTTAGTTCTGAAGAGGGACTGACACGTCAAACGTAAACTATCAATTTGTACGGAGACAAGAAACTTAATAATTTCGAACTTCGTGTTTTGAAACTTTAAATTAGTGTTTAACGACGAAGTTAAATTTAACAGAAACTATAGCAATGAGGGTTAAGTGTGGTCTCGTAAAAAAATGTTTTCAAAGATTAGTTACGTTAGGTGATGAGCTTTCGAGGATGAAATGCATTATATAACTATCCTCAAAGCCCGCCCAAACTGCGCTTATATTTTTCTACTGAAATGTGAAAACATTATAGTACTTAATATATCTGGTATGAAATGCATACATAGGTTGAATAGGTTAACATTTATAGTACGAACATATTTAGTGTTTTTATTTACTGTATAAATATTATCTCTACATATTCGAATTACTACATAAGGTACTGATCTGTATAGGATGTTTCAAAAGTTATAGAGTCATATAGAACAGATACAGAGTTATTGTGTTTCTTTACAGAAATCGCTTTGCAGATAAAACACGTAAATGAAAACGGAATAGATCAGTTGAAAGAGATTTATTTCTTTGTAGGAATTGCTCTCGGTGTCTTTAGTGTAATGACTTAAAATATAAAAAAAAGAAATATTCACGATTCATCAATATCCCCATACTTTTGAGGTACTCTGTATTATCTTTCTGTTACACGCAACTAATTTGAATTGGTTTGTTATGAATTTCGCGCAAAGCTACACGTCCCTAATTTAGCAATGACAAGACAAGACCACCCACTGCCGTCCATAATTTAGCAATTAAAGACTAGAGGGAAGGCAGATAGTCATTACCACCTACCGCCACCTCTTGGGCTACTCTTTTACCAACCACTAATGGGATTAACCGTCCACGCCTCCACGGTTGATAGGGTAATCATGTTTGGTGGGACGGGGATTCGAACCTGCGACCAGCAGATTGTGAGTCAAGCGCCCTTACCACCTGCCTATGTCAGACCCACTAATTTGGATAACTCTGTTAACTTATCGGGCATAATATTTACGTGCTCCTGGTAAAGGTTAATAAGAAGATAAATACCTAGCAAGCGCAGGTCCAGAGTATTAGCTCGTCATGTCCTGAAAGAGTATTAGAACGTTGATAAAGAAATATGATATTTATTACGCGGGGCTTTAACTGTCAAATAAAGTATAAACTGTGAAAAACGAGTTTACTGATTAAGAAATAATGACACTCAGATGCTCCAAGTTTGCTGTGGATTTACAAGTAGCTTATAAATCTTCAGTTAACACAGAAATGAACCGTGCTGAAGACTATGGAATAAATCCTCTGGAGTACGGAAAACCGAGAATTTATTATTCAAGTTATTAGCTCAATGATCTACCGAGCAACAGTCTTGCATGATATTCTTCAAACAGAATAGTTCATTGATTTGATATTTTCACTTAATTAGGGTGTGTGTAGTTTATATGGAGCAATCTTGAATCAATGTATTTGTTAAAATGTATATCAAATTCAGTAGGTATACTTGGATCGTTCAGTAACACAAAGTATGCATGGTATGAATTTGGTTGTTCACATTTCTCTTTCTCTTTTTTTTCCACATAAATATAGTTGTAATAATTAATTTTCACCCAGATAGGGTTGACACTAGCAGTTTCCCATCTCAACGCACAACTTGGTGATCATATTGTAGTTGTGCCAGCTTGCTGGGGTAGTTTTTCCTGCCTTCATAAAGGAAGACTTGCAAGATTGATGACTAATAAAGGAAGACTAGCAAGACTGGTGACTAAAATTGAATATTAGGGTTAGAGTTCAAGTAGCATCTCATTGAAATACGTAAGAAAAATTGAGTTTTTGGCACTAATTTCAGGTCAATGGGATCAACAAAAACAAAATGTCGGATTTTTACATTTTGTCAGGAGAGGGTGATGTTGTGCTCAAAAGCATTTTGCATCTCTTAATAAGATGATTATAAAAATAATTTTAGCATGTTTGACCATTCTAACTATAAGAGAATTTCATTCGTTTTGACTCATTATACTTACCTAGGGTTCCTTGACCTTAGATCCATTATTTTAATACCTCTTCAACTTTTATTTATGTATGAAGATGTTTTTCTATTAAAAAATTAGTTCAAACACTCAAAAAAGTGAAATACTCAAATAGAACTTTAGTTTACATGAAATTATTTTATGGTTACAATAGTTAAACATACTAAAATCATTTTTCTGTAACCATTCGACATCTTGTGTTGACCATATTGACATGGAATGGATATAAAAATTGTATTTTTTTTCTACGTATTTCATTGAAATACTACTTGAATACTGTTAAATGTTGGTCTCTGATCTCGTTGTCCTCCATTGAGAGACTCACCACTATTGTTTTCATAACCTTGTTTGTTTGTTGTTAAGCGCAAAGTTACACAATGGGTTATCTGTGATCTGCTCGTCGCGGGTATCAAAACCCGATTTTTAGCATTACTGCTGAGTCACCAGGAAGCTCATAGTCTTGCATTCCCTACTTGTTCAGCTATAGTATCAACACCTGTAAACTCGAGTAGTGCGAGTGTTAGTGGTATCATGGGAGTCAAAGGGTAAAATAACTGCCATTACTTATACCACAAACTCTGCTAGAGACGTTTCAAAGATTGCTTAGAACTGATATATCAGATCACTTGTTTTAGAGGCCTTTTTATCTTAAAAACGTGCTATATGCTGCTATTTGCTAATCAATGACCATTTTTACATAACGAAGTCCGAGAATCTAGATATGAAAAAGAAAATTAAATGCACGTTCCAGGTCAAGAAAAAAGGTTTGGAAGGTGGCACTAAATATAGTACTAACACGTAAGCTTCTGATCGATGTAATAGCCGACATATTAGACAGGCCTGCCCAAATCAATCGATATCCTCCTCGGTTTATAAAGAATAAAGAGTCTACAAAGTTCAGCTGAAGGCTTTGATAGAAATGTTACACCATAGACTTAGCGTGACTGGACGACCAGAAGACGCCATAGCGTTGTTCGATCGAAACATCTCTTAATGTGGAAGTGCATGGCAGTTTCATGTGCGCCAGGGTTTTTACTTAATGTTTTACAGTAAAATAAAAAGGGCATTTGAATCAAGGATAGTTCTTTTTCTTTGTTGTTGAAAATTCACTATTAATTGCTTCTTGATTTAATCAAAATGTTACAACTGTATTTAAAGATCTGCATGTGACGCGGACTGACGCCTCTTATATAATATTTTTTGAATGCATGAAATTCTAATTTAAAAACTAGAGCACTTAGACTGTTCCATAAAGATGTACTTAAAGTTAAAAGCTGTGCTCAATGTCTAGACACGTATTTAAACTTCTTCTTAAATCAAATTTTACTTCTTTCAAAGTAATATTGAGGAACAAAGTAGGACGCGAAAACGAGTTGTAAAAACCGCACCTACCAATATTTAAATATTAACCAACTGCTTTTTATTCATGTCACTTCCAAGTTATAATTTCAATGTAATTTCAGTTTTCATAGTTTCAAATCGCTCACAGCAACAAAATGGTTTCCATTGATAAGTTACGTAAAGGACTAATTTCATCATTAAAAATACTATTTTTAAGGATACGCAGATATAGGGTAACGACACTATACCCCCTACCAAAAAAAAAAAAGAAAAGAAAAAGGCAACATTCAATAACCATTTCAGTAAATAAAAAATAAAAAATACACAATAATCAGATTTTTAAACAAAGGGTAAAGGCATTTAACTGAAAAGAAATACCCAGTGGTTACATCATTAGAATGTGCACAAAATCACTATTCTGAAAAGAAAGAAACAAACAAAAATACCATCCGCAACTAAAGCGTAGAGACATTACTTTGTAATAAACGTAACACCTTATCAATTGATAAAGCGTTAAGACATTGTACTGGAAAGTAACTTTCAATAATACCACTAGTAAAAACAACAACAAAAACAAAAAAAAACTGTAAGACACTATGCCGAAAATATAACATCAACCAATAAGCACGTCAATAAATAAAACATAAAAGTATGTCAACGTTAATAAGACCCACCTATTCCATAAATAAATGAAATGCGCAGATACTAATTGAAAACCAATTGAACAATGTAAAGAATACCCAACTATTGTACCGGTAAATGAAATACGCAGATACTAATTGAAAAGCAATATAACAATGTAAAGAATTCCCACTTATTGTACCAGTAAATGAAATATGCAGATACTAATTTAAAAGCAATCGAACAATGTAAAGAATACCCACCTACTGTACCAGTAAATGAAATACATAGATACTGAATGAAAAGCAATATAACAATCATTAATTATAATAATAAATATAACATACAAGATAACAATCGTTAATTATAATAATCAATATAACGTACAATATAACGTATGCAGATACTAATTTAAAAGCAATCGAACAATGTAAAGAATACCCACCTACTGTACCA